GGGTGAGGGGGAACCAGCTCTTCCCAGCACAGAGATCCAGCAGCAAAGTTAACGTTTCCAGCACGGCTTTATCTTTTCATCCATGTAAATAAACGTCCTACACACGTCATCGGTGTGGGGGTTGCAGGGGGAGCCGGAGATGATGGGCCTGTTCCTACTGGTAATATTTACTCAAGCAGCAAGAGCACGAAACAATCACGAAGCCGAGACTTTCCCTGCAGGTCGGCGGGAGGGAGCAGCTCTCCGTGCCCTCGTGGCTGTGGCACATGCCCCGGCGAGCGGGGACGGGGCTGTCCCGGGGCAGGACGGGGCACCGGGCACCTCGCCTTCGGGGGACGGAGCGTCCCCACCAGCGACAGCCTCCCCCGCGTGGAGGGCAAAGTCCTTTGGCAGCACCTGCCGCAGGGGACGCGAAAGCTGGCGTGCGGAGACGGTGGCTGGGCCAGGTCTGGGGCATCAGCTGCGTTATCTGCGGAGGAGCGTCAGGCCGTGGCCGCCCGGGTTTGCGTGGTGCCTGGAAGGGCGCAGGACGGACGCGCTGCATGTGCGTAACGACCGGACGCGGGACCGCCGGGCTCTTCCCAGCCCTGTGCTGGTGACGTCTGCGCGCATGGCCCTTGTCCACGCGCCGGTGCCGTCCCTCCCTCGGAGCTCCACGTGGAGCCCGGCTGGCCATTGCATGGTGGTCCAAGTCTTTTGACCAGGTGACACCGTGCTGCCGGGCTTTCAGTGGCAAGGCTGGTCCCGAGGACTGATTTTCAGAGGGTTTATGGCGGCGTTAGCATCCCTCCCGGCCCTTCAGGCAGGACCGGTGCTGTCTGCTCCCCATCCCTCTGGTCTTTCCTTCTCACCATCCTCTCCCTCTTCCCCAGGAGAAAGAACGGAACGCCAAGAGGAAGAAGAAAAAAGGCACCGCCGTTCAAAACGAAGAAGCCGCCTTCCCTCCCGTGGCCGAGGACGAGGAGATGGAGGTGTCGGGGACGAGCGGCAACGAGGAGGAGATGGCTGAGGAGGCGGAAGGTGAGGCAGGGAGGGGGCTGTGGTGGGGGGACACGCTCAGCTCTCCTGGCTTTGCTGCACAGCTGTGGCACAGATCCTGGGATCACGGCCTCTCCGGGGCTGCACATGTCAGCGCTGGTGAGGGCGGAGTTGGGGGGTCATGTTTGTCACCCCAAAGCCATGCCAAGGTGATGGCATCCTGCAGCACGAAGCACTCGTGGCGTTTTGGAGGCCTCTGGCTTTCACACTTGCAAGGACTGCCCTGGATCACTGCCCTCCTCCCGGGGCTGTCTGGAGGATGTGTGTTTTGG